GACCGACAAAAACAAGCATTCCCCTCCCCCTCCGCCGGGCGCACATGCCAGGGGAAAAGGAGGGGGGCGCCCTCCCCCAGCAGCCAGGCGGGGTCTTCCCCCCCTCCTCCCCGCCCCATTTCCCTGGATCGCCGCTCTAGCTTGCTTGCGGGAGGGCCCCAGCTGTTCCTCCGGGGCCGCCTGCCTCCGCCTCCTCCCGGCTGCCCCTCTCGCCGCTGTTTTCAGGAACTCGCAGTCCTTCTGCTCCACTTTGACTTGTTGACCAGTTTCAAGTTGTTGAATAGCTCACATGCTTATCATAGTTGTGGTTTGCTCCGCTCTGCGCGCGCCCGCGCGAGCGTGTGCATGCGTGCCGAACCAGCAATCGCTCTTTGGTCACGGGGGGGGGGCAAACTGCACAACTTTACGCATTCTCATTTTTTTTTTCTTTTGTCGTTCTGGCCAAACTGCACAACTTCAGGCGGCACATGCAGAACACCGTGTAACGTGCCGAAGGTACACGCGTGTGCATCTTTTCTGTTTTTCCCGTCGCTTTTATTCGGCCGGACTTTCTGCACAGAACTGGCGTGGTCTGCTTGGAAAGAGTTGATTTCAATTAGGTTGCTTGTTTTAAGCGGAGAACATCTCGGGCCCAGGGCCGATCCTCCTGGAAGAAGTCGGGTGGGTGGGTGCGTGGCAGCTGGCCCCACTTGCTGGTCAGATCGGCCTCGGGGTCCTTCCGAACGAATGCATCCGACGGCAGCCCGGTTGCACAGCGAGAAGCGGAAGTCCCACAACGTCCGAAGTCGTCTTCAGCAGAGACCGGGACCGAGTCCTATCATCTGTTTGGGGTCGGAAGCGCGACCAAGCTTGGGTGGCTTCGTTGCTTTGCACGGCCGGCTCTGACCTCATGGGACACGTTGATATGCGTTGGGCCTGTGAGCATGTGCAGAGTGCATTTCCTCAAGCTACACGCCCGCGGATGAGTCATGACAGGTCTCCAATGGGCAGGTGGGGGTCGAGGCACGCTTTCCACCTTGGAGGGTGAGCATGGCAGGCGGCAGGCGGGCCCCTCGTCTTCGCTTTCCACAATGGACACGAGGGTCTCCAGAGCTTGCCTCCATCACCTATCGATTATGTGGGGTTTTTTTTAAAAAAAACCCACTGATACATATTCTACTGTGACCCCCGTCACCCGCACTAGACATTGCCTGCACCTCCTCTCGCTCGCTCTCTTTGTATGTGTGTGTGTGTTTGTGTGTTGTCTTCACCAGCAGCGAGCAGCAGATTTGTACTGTATTAGCATAGCTGATCTCCTGGGACAAAGGCACATGTAAGTGATAGCGGAGAGCTCGCCTCCGCCTTCCATTGGCTGGCCCAGCGAGGAGGGGGCATGTGTCGCTTTGCCTCCCAGGCTTTCGGCGGGGCGGGGAGGGCGAGCGGAGAGCGGGCGGCGGCGGCGGCGGCGGCAGCAGCAGCAAAAGGGAAAGAGGAGCGAGAGCGAGTCGGAGCGCCCGCCCGCCCGCCTGCCTGCCTGCCCGCCTGCCTGCCTAGGGACATAGGCGGGGCTTCCAACGTGAGCCAAAGGGCAAGGAGCTCGCAGGAGCCTCTCCTCGCGTCACTCTCTTTGCCTGGCAAGTGCTGGAAGCGCAGGCTGCTGCTGCTGCTGCTGCTGCTCTTCCAGCGATTGCTCGCTCGCTCGCCTGCCTGCCTGCCTGCCTCCTCCCTTCGAGCTCTCCCCCCCTCCTCCTCCTCCTCTTCCATTGTATAATGCTTCGTGATCGCCGCAGCCAGAGGAGAGAGGAGGCTTAAATCCTCCTCCCGGAGCTGCATTTACCTCCCCACCCCATTCCACCTCCTCCATCCCACCGACAGCCCCCTCCCCCGGGCGAGAAGAGCGACATATGGAGCGGGTGGAAGATTAGGGAGTGTGCAGAAGCAGTGGCGGCGGCGGCGGCGGGAGCAGGAGCAGCCCCTGATGCTTTAGTTCTCAGGAGGAACTGCATGTGGTAAGTTCAGCGAGAAGCCCGGGCGGGAGAGACGAGATGGCCTCGGCAAGGGCGGGGAGGGGGGGGATTCCTTGGCCGGCCAGCGTCACGATGCAGCGGCCCAGGGAGGTGGGCATGGGCTCCTCTGTCACCAAAGCGCGCGCCTGAGGGTGAGGTGTGTGTGTGTGTGTCGAGTGGGGGGGGTGCGCGGTTGGAAAGGTGTGTTCGAGACAGACCTTGGGGCTGTCGCTTCATAAATGCTACCCACCCCCACCCCCGCCTCCCGTCCGTTGGTCAGGAGCCAAAGGCAGAGAGAGCACCCACGGCGTGGAGAGAGGGGGGGGGGCTCGGGAAGCGGCGACCTTCCTCACCCTTGCAGGATTCGCTCCCCCCTTCTAACCAACCCTCTGGAGAACTACGTTTCCCCCCCCGCCGCCTGCGAGAGATGTGCAGGAAAAAAAGGGGGGGTCGGCCGGGCCACTTTTCTTCCTACAGAACGGTCGAAGCCAAAAAGGCAGACAGATCAGGGGCTCCTTCGAGCAGGTGTGTGCCCCTGTCGCTTATGACATACATACATTGGACCTGTGTGTCTCTGTGTGTGTGTATGCGCGCGCCCGCGCGCTCGTGTGTGCTCCTCTTCCCTGTGTTGGTGTGGTGTGCAAAGAGTTTCTCAAAGCCCTGTTTGCAGTGCAACTTGCTTTTTTTTCCCGGCCTGATAAGTTTCAGTATGTGCTGGAGACCAAGATGTCGTGGAAAGTGTACCCTGCAATTTTGCTTTCTGATCTGAAAAGGTGTGGGCGTCAGGGAACCTTAACAGTGTGAGTTTGGAGGGTCCTCTTTGAGAACCAACACAAGAAGTCGAAATACGTGTGTCGAGGTGAGGAGGTAGCAAAAGTGGTCTGTTGAGGAGGGAGTTGAATGCAGGAGGGTCTCTCACTTGTGGAACGGAATTTCTTCAGCCAGACCGGGAGTTTGCATGTTCCAGTTAATTTGCTAAAGAACTGGTTTGTTCCATGCTTTAGTGTCTCAGCGTGGTGCTGTACTGGTTGGTGGTAAAATATATATGTATGTGTTTTGTTTTTGGCTTCTTGAAATTTACACTGCTTGCAAAAACGACCTCTTTGTAATGTGGAATAGTACACTCAAAACTTCTTGAAAATAGCACAGCCTAAGATCTAATGTGTGTCTCTTGGCTTTTCTTGCAGTCATGGATAATACAGAAACACTGATTTATTTTTATTTTTTATTTTTATCTTGACTGTGTGTCTCTTGGAGGAGGGGGAGCATTCTTAGTTGACCTGTGCCTGTTGCAGTTCCTTTAATTTGGTGTTGTCTTGCAGAGTGCACGATTGTGCTTCTTGACAGAAGAGAGTTACAGCTGACCTATAGCAGGGACTCCACCAAGAGTTAGTAGGAAATGAAATATGTACTTCTCAGCTCTGTTTCAGATGGTTGTAAGCACACCTAGCAAATGCACTCCCCGTGCATTCTTACTGCCCCACCCCCCATCCTGGGCTTAGTTGTCAGTATTCAGAATCCTGAACCAAGATTATCCATCCAGTTGCCCTTTGGAAATCCAACCTAACGCTGCCCATTCATGTCAAAGGAAGACCCTTTCCCATTCTTTAACATGGTCATAAATGTCTGGCATAAAGGCCCGGTTCCACTACCAAGGGAAGTTTGTTTAATCCCATTTCAATTTCTTCTTTGACTGAGGTGACAGAGAACTAATTTTCAAGGTTAATGAGGGTACGCATACACCTTTGTCTCCTGCTGCTGCTGCCTGCTATAGAAGAGGAGGGAGCATTCCCCGCCCCCAATCTCAGGCGCACTTGGGGGACTTCACATGTGGCACATGAGATGTGGGTCTTGGCTTCATCAAGTGTTTTGTACGGCAATTGTGATTCTGTTTGGCTATGTCCAACCTCACACATGGGAAGTTGTGCTTGAGAAAGAGGACTACTTCTTCTCTGACAACTCCCACATGTCTGCCAGATTTGCTCCCCCAACCTCAGGCGCAGGTGTGCATGCATGCTCAAGAAGTTTTACTGGGGTCAGGGGATCTTTTTGACCACCCATGTCAGTGGATGGACAGTGTTGGAGGCTAGCTATAGTTAACTGAAAATAACTTCACGAAAACATATAATTGAAAATACTTTGATTTTGAAAAAAGCACTGTTTTATATACAAAGTGATTTATTAGAAACAGAGGACTTGGTGCCTCAGTGTTGTCATGGTTTTTTCCTGAAGTAATTGCACTCTGCAAAAATACCTGGAGATCAGTGTTCCCATTTTCTTTCCTCTTGTGGCTGATAAAGCAGACTAGACTCTGTCAGAGGAAAGTAATTTTAAGTTTTAGAACTAGTTTTCTCACTGAGAACTGTCTGTTGGAGATAGAAGAGGGATTAGTAGTTTGTGGTGCCAGACAGGTACACAAGTTGTCTGGACAAGTATTGTAATGCCTACCATGACAGCAGAAGGAGTTTAGTCTTTTGTTGTTGGATTTTACGCACGTTAAATTGGAATAATGAAATGAAAGGGCAAACATTTTGAAACAACGTGAAATTACAAAAATTGCAATGCGTCTTTGGGAGAACAAAAGTGACCCTTTAAAAAATACATTTGTGTTTCTCTGATTCTTGTGTTTTAAGAAAACTTTATACACTTTATATACTTATGTGTACGTGGTGTTCGTGCTTCTTTGACGTTGATTAAAAGAGATGGGGAAACTTGTTCTAATTTAGATAGGAATTTGGGGGGCAAATCTCATCATAAGATTAATAAGAAGGTGTTGTTAAGATCCAGTCTGATAAACGTCTACTTGGGAGCAAGTCTAACTGAAAGCAATAGTTTACTTCAACCTGAATAAGCATGCAAAGGATTGGACTGTAGAAGTAGAATGTTTTTATTGTTCTTAAAGTTGGCTGCCCAAACTTGAATTAATACAGTAATGTGCCATGATGAAAAATTTACAGAAATACGTATGTTTTTAACTTAAATGATCAGCCAGATATACATACTGAAACTCTCTATTATTATTTTAAAGATAGTAGTTTTTGTTGATATGTGTATCAAAACTAGTCTACCTCCAAAATCAAGATTACTGGTACAAAAGAAGTTTATAGTTTCACCTCCGGTACATCTTATGTAACAGCCAGTTGAACTACTTTGCTAACAACTACTGTGCTTTCTTCACCCTTGGTATGAATCATTGGTGTGAAAAACAGTACAGAACATCAGTTTTATATTTTGCACAGTTCTGAAGTAGTAGGGCTTATACACTGCAAGTGATATTTAATAGCTGAGATGTTGTGGGTTTTTTTTTTTCATTTATACTCGCTGTATTAGAAGTGAGGTTATATTGTTTTTAAAATGTAGACAGTCTTCCTATGACCCACTTATAAGGACTCTTCAATGCCTCCTTTGGAAATACAGTTTCTGTCTGAAAAGATAACACAAATGGAGACAGCTCCAGTTGCAGCAGCTTCTTGGCCAAAAAAGGAGGGGTGGGGAAAGAGAGAGAGAGAGAAAAGAAGAGAAACTGTGCCAGAAACAGCAGGCTCTGATTACAGAGTCCAAAGATCATTTAAAGCACTAAAGGAAAGGGAGGGAGGGAGAGTACAAGGTCCAGTTTAAATGGCTGCAGCCTGGAAGTAGGACCAGGGCCCTGGCACTCCCAATCCGCCTTCTCTTAAAATCAGCATGCTTCTCCCCTAATTGTGAGGCTGATCACCCAGAAGAAAACTTTACTTTGACACTTCAGTGGAAGTGCACAGTGAAGTAAAAGGGGGTGGCACTCTATGGGGCCATGTTCTGTCCTTATTTGTGTGGACAGGGCTTGTGCATAACCTCTCTCTTTTGGAGTACAGGGGCCAAGGAAGGAGCACATACAGAGTGTGGGTACACGGTGGCTTTGTGGTGTGTTGACTCAACAGTTGGCCCACTGGATCCATTCCATGCAAACGTTGACAGTTTGATGGCACACTTGCACATGTCAAACCTTGGGTTGGACATTGTCGATATACAGCCTTACAAATGTTCATTCGGTTACAGCCTAAACAGTTTGTGCTGTTTATTCTCTCATTGGCTCACAACATGCTTTTCAAGTATTGCAGCATGGCTACAGGCAGACAGTACATTGCTTTGATCTAATTGGAGGAAAAGCAGGATACAAATGTAGCAGATAAGCAAAACCAAGCTGTTTTGGGACATTTGGGGAATTGTAGTCCACGAAAGCAACTTTAAAAACTGTGCAAATGAATGAATGAATAAATACTGGAGAAATTTGGAAGTGAGTTGACAAAGACTTCCTATCTGTGGAGTGTTGCTTTCTCCTACTGTTACTTAAGGACAAACGGGCTTTACAGAATTTTGAAACAATACTTTAAAAAATCCTGTTTACCTAGGGATGAAAGTAGGACCAGATCATGAGCAGGATTCCTCTTTTGTGATTTTAAATGGATGAATCATGTTCCTCCACCCTTAAGGACTCTTTCTTCAGTAGACACATCCCACCAGCCCCTGTTATAAGCTCTTCTAAATGTTGAGGAAGGCAGAGGTTTGGCTGGTTCATCATTCTCCATTCTGTTTAGTGGAGCAGGTGACCTTTCCAGTTGGAAGAGACCCTTAACACATTTTTGTTCAATCCGGGACTCCTAAAGGAATGAGGAGCCTGTCAGTATGTAAAGGTAGCGATCCTGCCCAGCGAAAGCTGCTTTGTCTGGTGAGCATGTGAAACAGGCCAAGATAGATAATTAATCTCATTTCAGACACGGACGGTAGTGGTGGAACATTTCAATATTGGGCAGGTAGTTGAATAAGCACAGGACACTGCAAGATGTGTATCTTGAATCTTTTATGCTACAGTATTCTAAATGTGGCATATCTTTTGCTGAAGGTTTAGAAGCTAGTGTCTTCATTCCTCCTGAAAACTCATGGCTAGCTGAATCATGTGACTGAAATTCTGGATGGTCGTTTGGTGAGTTCAGCTGTTATTGCTGACCATGTGACAAAGGAGTCAT